AAAGTGTGGTTGATGAATTTGGCCTATACTCAATAGGCCCAGTAGGCCAGACAACAGGATCGAAGTGCAGAAATAACCCCCCTATATGGTTCACTTTAAGATCTTTAAGCCCAACTTCACCCATGCATAGTGTATCAGCTACTCCAAGTTTGGGAAATAATTCGTTGGTTGGATAGAGTCTCAGCTATTTTTATCGAGCTATCATTGGTATCCCACAAAAATTATTAAAATCATCTAAAATCACTGAACAGTAACTTTTCAAGGGATATCTGATATCTATCTAAGTAAGTTTGGCCACGACCACGCAAGGTAGTTTGCATGAATTTGATCCTCTACGGCAGTTTGGCCATGGTGGCCTATAGCAAACCCTGGCGCGTTGCAGCGTGCAACTTCTTGGACGTGCCACTAGGCCGATTTTGAAACCGCTAGGGCTGGGATACTTTGGGTGACTAGTAGATGTTTTCTCATGCACCATCGGCTTCGGGAATCTTCAGGATTCAGGATAGGTCAAAGTGTTCAAAAGTTTTTGGGGCCAACGCATGTCAAAACAATTTGATAAAGGACACACCTGGAGGTATCCGGGTAGGCTGGTTTCGCCCAAGCAATGTGGCCAGAGTCAATGACATCCATACCAGTCTGAATTACCTTGTTTTGCTCCAAGAGTTGCACCAATCCGTCTATCTGTAGAAAATATTCTAATGTTGCCTGAATCTTGAAACAGGTGGAAAGCGTTCAAGTATTTTAAAGTCCTGTCCTTTTTTCCATGTGAAATATGTGAATATGAGTCAGTTACAGGTTGATGTGAGTCAGTCAGCCCAGGATGCTCCTCGCGTGCATGCTTGTCATTCTGGATGCTGGCTCTTTATTCATCCGAGAGGATGATGGTCATACCACGATGCTCATCTGTGGCTCGTCTAGAAGACCACCCATGGGCATAGATCAGCCTAGATCATCTAGATCTGTCAATCCTGGCTATCATCCCCAAGAAATGGGTCTTGTATAGGTCTTGTAATGTCTTGTATATATTTGAAGCGGACACTGTCCGTGGTTCGGGGGTTCCTGGATTCTGGATACAAAGTTTCCAAATGGATATTGTCACCTCACCACGACATCGCCATAGAGCATGGGCCGGAGAAGCATCCAAAATTAATATTTTTTGGTGAATCATGATTCAGCATGATGAAGGGCCAAATACTTTATGTTTGAATATGTTCGATACTGTTACGGTTCTTGATCTCTGGTAGATATCAGACAAGACTGGACAGTTTCAACTGACACACAAACACACACATGCCTATCTCTGTTGCAAGGGACTCTCGAAAGGCAGCTTCACAGAACTGTATCTGTCAATATCTGTCAAATGTCTATTTTCCCATTACCCCTCCAGCTCAAGGGTGCCAATCTACCTCACAATTTTCTCAGCCGGCACGGGGGATTTGAGCTAGCACGTTGCCGTTTCAGCAGCAAGTCCGCACATCACTACTGTCTCGGAAAGCAGTTGCTCAGCAACACGTTACGAATTTTGAGCCGGTAACATGTTTTGAGGGAGCACGAAAACAAGGAGGAATGTGCTCAAATCATCTCAAATCTAGCTCCTGGTTGTTTTCAGTTTCCATCTGACAGCATTCTGGGCAAGCTTGTTCCCTTGAAGTTCAACGGTTGACTGCCAATAATGAAGTTGTGTAGTACATTGTAGCACTAAAATAATACCTTAGCCTTAAACATCCTGAAGCACATGTATCGGAAAGTCATAGGTCTTCAATCTCCTGCTATGTTTTCCCCATGAAGTTGATTGAAGATCCCCAGGATGACAGGCCAGAGATCTTGACAGGCTGCCAGGATGATCATCTACGTTTTCAACAGCATAAGGAGCTTTTTTCCGGAGCTTATGCAGCCCCCTTTTCAACCATGGAAAGTGGACATTTGCTGCCCAAAAGGTTCCTCCAGTTACAGTACTGATAGTACTGTATACTTCGCAGGGCGGTCCTTGCCCACTGGTTGATCAATCCCCATGAATTTTGTTGTTGAGTCGTCCCAAGTCTTGGTGTTGAAATCCAGGGATATGGGTATTCAAATCCCAGTGTTTTTGGTGGTGAAATCGCAAGTCGCCAGTTTACCCTCTGGTAATTTAACATAGCTATTGAAAATCACCATTTATAGTGAATTTTCCCATGAAAAATGGTGATTTTCCATAGTTATGTTAAATTACCAGGGGGTAATTGTCAAACCATGTTACATCACTCATGTTTTTCACATGTAAAATCACATTTTGTGGTATTTTATCATGGGTAAATATAGGTAAATTACATGTTTGGCTAGATTTGATCCCCATGTTTGGTTTGGACATCCAGTTGCTTCCCAGGCATGCTCTTCTCGGGCGTCATGGTGCTGTCGATCCTGACGGCCGTTTGCTATGGTGTGGGCAGGCGCCAAGGGTACCTGCGATGACTTCAAGCTGGGACACCTGACCTGGGGATATCCCCAATTGGGGATACGTTGAATTTGATTAATTAATACTTGTAAAAACTATATTAACTATATTATTCTATATTTATTATTGGATCTGGGGTGAATTTTAGCGGCTTCATTGAAATGGCTACTCTACATGGGGAATCATCCCAAACTGGCCCAATGAATCAGGGAGGGAATCTGAAAGCACTGGCGGCTTTGCTGCGGCGATCAGCTCTTGTGGCGTCAGGCATTTCATGCTCAAGTATCGCAAGCAATTCAGGTGTGGGCATGCCGGGCAGTCTCAACCTTTAGAACTCTTTAGAAATTCGAAGGCTGTTTCCAGAGATGCCAGAACGAACCGGAATCATCCAAAATCCAGCAAACCAGTTGATTTCAGTAGATACATCATTTGACTTTGGACATGTATCCGGAGTATTTGCATGTTTTCAGTATGTTTTATACTTGTTGTTTTCAGTGTTGTTGCTTGAGACCCTCATGTTTGCATGTAATTCTCATCCTCGGCTACTGGCCAGGTTCTTCCTTTGCCACCAAAAGATTGCAGCAGGAAGCATGGCCCGTTTCCTTCATTTGCTTAGCAGGTATGTGTGTTGTTCTTTTGTGGTTCCCCTACTTTCAGTAGCTGTACACACGTGCAACTGTCACTCTTTCTGTTCGTTTGTTTTCAGTCCTCTTGATAGTAATTTGCAGTTGCGGATTTTCTGCAACTTCTGAACAGCGTTCTTTGGCCGCCTGCAATGTTGAGCTGGTGCTTCGACTGGTCCCTAAGGTTTGTTGAAGATGGAACTGCAAAAGCGTGGCTCCAGGAACACTACATTTGACGCTTGGCTGCGAAAATGGATAGCTGGGCCGCATGGCTGGAAGCTACGCGCTGCTTCTAACATTCCCCAAATACCATAAGTTCCATATGTATGTATTTGTTTATGTAACTGATATGATATCTCACACAGGCTCAACCTATTTTATCCAACCTAATAATCTAACTCTGATCCGAGCTTATCAAAAATCTTGTGAAATCTAATCTGATAATATACATACAATCTACAGTATATAGTATAATCTAATCTAGATTCTTTATATTCAGTATAGCTATCTACCTTTTTTGATCCTAAATCTGTGACGCAATGGCCAGGTGGCTGACTCAACGGATGTCAACCTTGGATACCCCGGGTCAGAATGGCACAATGGGTCGTCCTGAGGTCGACTGTGATGACCTGAACGATCTCACCAGGCCGTTTTTTTTCGTGACTGGATCTGTAGGATTCGCCAGCAAAAGCTGGTCGATTTACCTTTAAAATTGGGATCTACAGTACCGTACAGATGGGGGATGATGGGGTTTAACCAACAGCAATAGCATAGAATAGCTACTTAACCAACAAAAATACGGATTTATCCAACAACAACAACAACAACAACAGGAATTTGATCAACATACATGATAATTTCAGCAAGAAATGGGAGTTTAACATATAGTTTTCACATAATAAACAACTAAAAAAGTGGGTTTTGAACCATCAACACTGGGGAGTCAAACGCATCAAAGATTGAGATTTAACTCCAACAGTTGGGGATTTCGTGGTATGATCCCAAAGCAAAACGCTCCAAAATTGGATGTTGAAGAATCATCCAACATATCTGACATCTTTCTAATCAGATATCATTTGTCATCCCGAGATATCCCAAATATCAGATAGAAAGGGATATCCAAAAATCCCAAATATTACCCTCCAGTAAATTAACATAGACCCTGCCAGATAGGGGTTGGAAGATTAGTTTCCATTAAAGATTGGTGATTTTCAGGGTCTATGTTTATTTACCAGAGGGTATCAGATAAATATCAGATATCATCCCAAAACGCTGCTGCTGCCGCAGGTTGTTCAGCTACGTGGGTCAGGACACCGAAACCTTCGTGATCCTGGGCTCGCCGGACATCTTAACCAGGCGGACTGCATCACTGGTTGCCATTTTACTGTGCAGTGGTAATATGTGGTTATCATAGATTATCATCCTGATTTGATGTGTTTTCATGTTATATTTGAAACATTTTGAAACGATCTGGATTAAAGTCTGTATATTATATTATAAAATATACATTAATAGTTGCTATTGCTATTATGATTTGTTTCAGCGCGAAATTGATTAATAATCGTCCTGGTCGAGACAAGCTCTGACGCATCGAATTCTTCATGGCTCGCTAAAGCCCCAAGCTTCACGCAGGAAGTGGTGCGTGGGTGAGATGTGCACGGCGCGCAGTCACGGAGTCAATACAGTTACTTGGCTGTAGGTCAAAGATCTGGTGGGATTGATTTTTCTAGGGGGGTAATTTTAAAACCACCCCTCTTGACCCACACCGAATCCAAGCTGTTGTTTCTTTTGTGTTTTTTGCCTAGTAAACCTATAGGAAATTCTTGCCATGGTACAAAAAAATGTCCACGATGTACAGTATCTGCCGGCTTCAGGAAAGTATGGATTGCTCATATCCCCAAATTTCTAAGCGCGGTGGCCCCATTGCCATGGCCAGCTTTTTTTTTTAAACTCGGAAATGCTGAGGTCCTCCTGAGGTGGCCCGAGTTCGTGATCCTTGGTGAGACAGGGCCAGGGTTTTGAAACTTTGTTTGGAAACCAGTTAGATCAAAGACAGACAAACACAAATGACCAGGTTAAGACACCAACGTCGCATCTCTGATGTTCAGTCTTGGCAGCCGCGGTTTTGGCATTTTTTGTCCTTGAAACTGCCCACAGCAATTAACCAGAATGGAGTCAGCCAGCCGAAATGGGCTGCGGGAAGTACATAGAAACCGTAGTCTCCGCAGATTCAGCAAGCAACCCCCTTTAGTGACACCTGCCCTCTGGTACAAATTCCAAAGGCAGAAGTCATAAGCCTTTCTCATTGAATTTCTAAGGTGTATGCCTTTCTCATGTCACTACTCACTAATCACCCCATGTCGCTGTCTCAAGTTGCCATGGCTGAGGAACCCTGACTACGATTTCATTACAAAGTATGACAGCATCGTGCCAGACATTTCCGAGCTGGTGAATTACAACATCGGTCTGGCGGAGGCAAGACCTTGCAGTCGCCACCATTGGACCCCTAAAATTCGTTGGGCGTTCAAACATGTCATGAGTTATAAGCCATTCACTTACTTTGACTAAGACCTACATTGAATCAGTTCCCAATTTGATGAGGGCCCATTTTACTATATTTTACTTATACTATCTTAAAATATAAGTTTGACATATTCACCAGTGAACATCAGTTAACATCATTTACCACATGATTTACATGATTTACTGGTCACCAACTTCAGTTGGATCATGTTGGATCCCAGGTGCAAGAGACCATGGCGTGGATCAACACGGTGCAGACTGTGGACGTTCCTTCCATGGTAAGTCTAGTGCCTTGGGTGAATCGCGGGGGAGTTGATGGCTGGTTCCTGCTCAAGCAAGTTGTGTTGAAAAATGTCCGTAGCAAGTTGTTGAAGTTTACAGTGGGTATATGGTAGATACTGTATACCTATACTTAATGGGTGTTATAAACCAACAAACATAACTAGGAGTCTTGAAAAATCTGAAACTGGCGAAGCTTTTTGTCGCAAGACCAGACTCAGAAATGCAGGGGATAGCAGGAGGTTCCTGACTCCAGTCTTTGGAAGACACCTTGTACCAGTCAGGATGTACCTAGAACCTTGTTCTGCCCCAAAGGAAGGCATGGAGCACATCTGCTCCTCGTTGACTGGGTCCTTGCGATTTCCAAGTCGCGCTGGTGGTGCGGAGTGGCTGGGAATGCACGACATCTGCGGAAGGGCTGAGTCGTGGCTGTTTTTGTTCAGATGGAACATGAATAAACTAAGAAGATGGTCAGTCAGTCTTCAGACATGTTGAGTTCTTTCGGATGCATTTTATGGATCTTTATGGGCCCTTGTGCCAAAGCAGCAATTACTGCCAAAAGGCCAAGATAAAGACTGTTGCTACATCCCCAGTAAAACTTGTTGCAATGATCATTCAACCTTTGCATTTTGCCAGGTGTACTGATGTGAGTTGGTGGAAGGTCAGTGACCTGTTTCTTTCCTCTCACGATATGACCACTAATTCGACTACACGCGAGTGATGACTTGAGGAAGAGCAGGCACAGTAGTACTATAGAACACTGAGAATTACCAGCCATGTGAAGTCCATTGATACCTCATTTTCGGTAACTGCTATAATTTTTTTTATATCCCAGTTTTGCTGGCGGATCTCCCTTTTTTTCATCTTGAATTTTGTTTCTTATTATCCTATCACATCCCACCATGCGACTTGTAGTTACTTCACTCACATGGGTATGGATCAATACCTATTAATACCATTTTTAGAGGGATGAACATCCATTTACCAGCTATTTTGATGTTCACTAGGGGTACAAGGTTTTGACACACTGCCACATTAAGGTTGGCTATGCAACATATCCCCCACGGTTTTGCAAAGTTCCGGGAATAAAAAAATCCAGGGCCATGTCTCCGAGGTCGCCAGACTGCATCATCGTGTCGGATTTGGACAACATGGAGGTGCTAATGGGTCGTTGTGTGGGCTGGGGCTATCACTTCAAACCAGGCTCTTGGAACAAGTTGATGAATAAATAATTACAATAAAGTATCAATAATCTTTAGTATCATTACAAATTATATAATACATATATATATATATATAAGTTTAATTATGCTACAAACTGAATTATTCAAAAATGACCATTTGGACCCATTTGGCCTTTTGGCCCCCCAAACCAACCATTGTTTGGGGTACCCAATGAATTGACCTCGAAGTGTTGCTGCTGAGGCCGCAGCGACCGCCTACGTCTTGCTGGGATTGATGGTGCCCAAATTGGTGGGGGCGGAACGGAACAACATGCCCACAGTTCTGCAGAAGGCCAGGGTATGGCGGTATGGCGATGTTTTTGGCGCTGTTTTTGAGCGTTTTTGGGTTGATGTTGAATGATGGAATCATGAAGAATCTACTGGTGGAGCTGGATGCTTTTAGCAAAAATGGGTTGGCGATGTCTGGATTGGGCCCGTGTGGGGTTGGAGAATGTTGGTTTAAGAGGGATCGTATCTGTAGAAAGCTCCCAAAAGGCACAACGATAGTCTCTGTCCCAATGTCCTGGTCGATGCTTCTTGCAGACTTGGAACCTAGTTCGCAGAATGTCTGTATCCAAAACATCCCGGATACAATCAAAACACCCTGTCTTTTTTTGGCCCAGGTACTGGTGGTGTCCCAAGGTGTCCCAGAATCCAACAAGATGTAGAAAGAAATATCACTCAGGGAAATCAGATTTTTTTTGGTTTTCTTCAATCAGAAGTGCGTCCAGGTTTTCAGTCAACATGTGCTGATGTGACGTGCTGTGCCAGGGTCGACCAGTATCAGAGACGGCCACAGCTGCTTTGGTGATTTGCAGCGATGGCTGCTTCAAGCAATTGGAATTTGCTGAGCCTTGGTAGTAGGAGCGATGGCTGTGTCAAGCAGTTTGGCACTTCAATAGACTGAAGCAGTATGGTATGGTTGAAGAAACCAATCGTTGCTTTAAGCTTCGTTTGAAATTGTTTGGTATGTCATGGTTTGCACATCCAACTGAGTTTAGACCTGAGTTCGACTTGTTGAATACTTTTTGCGAACATGTTTCCAGCGAATCAAAAACATGCCAAATTTGGATTTCTGAAGTCTGAAGATATCATAGCTCAAGCTCATCAGCTCAAGATGTCAAGCCCAAGAAGTTTGATTGATCCACAGATCCCAACATACCAAGGAATGGTTGCTCCAGGTTGCTCACTTGCCCGACTGTTGTGTCCTTCCCATTATCGCGGAAGATGGTTTTCGCTTCCCCTCCCCCTCCTACTACGAGGCCTGGGGACTGATCCACCTGAGGTGTTGCACTAGGGTTTGGATCTTTCTGCTGCTATTGTTGGGCAAACAAACAAACAACTGATGAGTTGGTTTCAAAACCTCGTGTTTTTTTAGACACTATATAGTCACTAATGAGCAAACACAGGGATATCGCCAACCAAGAGGATGTGTTTCCATGGGCGGGTTTTAATCGTGAATTCAATCTTGCCAATCATGAGTTGAAATTCTACATTCTCTCCATGCACTCACCAATCCTTGTTTATCATGAATCATTACACATTCTTGTTGAAGTTTCCATGTTCGGACTCTGGCTGTCTCACTTTCAGAAATGGAGTTGCTTGCTGGCTGTCATTGACATGTCCATTATTTTCATTTATTTTCCATGGCCTTACAATGGATGATTCATGAAGTGATTATCATGATTTTCCATGAGTTTCCATGATTTGTTATTGATTGTCCATTGATTTTTATTGATGTTCCATTGATGTTCCATTGATGTTCCATTGATGTTCCATTGATGTTCCATGATTGTCCAGTGATTTTCCAATGATGTTTTAAAATTTTCCCGGTGATGTTCCAATGATTTCCCATGATTTCCAGTGATTTTCCAGGATTTTTCCATTGATTTCCCATGATTTCCAGTGATTTTCCAGCATTTTTCCATTGATTTCCCAAGATGTCCCATGATTTTCCATGATTTTCCAGGATTTTTCCATTGAACATGATCCACTCCATGGGGATTCTTGGCTGAGCCGAGGAGGTGGAGTCCATGCCGCAGCTGGAGAGCTTGGACCTGCGGATCCATGGCGGCCGTCGCATATCAAGCAGATTCTATGGAAATCCATCCTACATACTAATACAATCCATATATATATATATATACGTAGTCTATTTGTATATTATATATACAGATGATACATATAGACACATATGTAACAGAATCATTGGAAATCTGTTCTACTATTGATTCTATGGGTGTATTAGTAATTTAAAGTAACTATGAGGATGTCATAGAACATGTTGCTTTTGCGCTGTTGCCCAATTTGGGGACGTGGGGAATCACAGATTCCTGGGAATCCCAACCTTGACCACCCATGGACTTGAACTTGTGTTTGCTGGTTGAGATGATTCCATTGGAGAAGTGGTTTCTTCTGGTTAGTGGTTTCCTGGGCTACAGTATCAGTTTCCAAAGTCAAGGAGGGAATTGTTATCCCAACTGAAAGCTATTTCCTGCGGTTCTTGGATGGATTGACACGAAGCAGTGGTCCATTCTTGAATGTTCCTGCTCAGATGCTTCGACTGATATACAGACTCAAAGTGTTTTCATGTAGCTTGTAACACCACACACTGATCGGGTGGTTTCATGGTTCAATTTTCTTATTGTTGCATCCATCAAAATGGGATGATGATACGCACGACGCACATGTATAATATAACATCTGTCATATGAATATGTCATATGCGCATCATGTATTTACAATATCATCATATATATATATACAATTATATATAATATATATATGTATATGATATATATATATGCATATATTATATGATATATATATATATACGTACATTGATGTATTTCTTAGCTTTATCACCACCAAAAAGCCCCATCGAAGACCAGCTGCAGGATCTACATCAAAGCGATCAAGGCCAGTAGCTCCAAGGGGTGCAACCTGAGGGGCCAGTTGGTTTTAATGGTATGTAGAACCCAATAGCACTACATATATAGTTGCGGTTTATATATAAAAACATATAAAAAAAAACCCAGTATATAACGTAGTTCAAGGGGCTCCTGTGTATTGTTTTTTTCTGCCCTCGGAGCAATGTAGAGAACTTCACATGCTCGACAGGTGGCCTTATGTAACTTGTGTATAGCCATGGCCATATCAAGACTGAAAAAAACCAGGATCCTGCTTCTCAACCATTTGGATGTGTGATCCTTCTGAATCCAAGAACCCAAGTGGGGTCAATGCTTTATCATCAGTTTCCCAAATGTTCCTTTCAAAATGGCACCTTTACAAGGTCCTCCCATGTTAAGTCTCTTCCGTGGTCTAAAACTGCATGTTGAGGCAGTCTTCCAGGAGATTGCGGTGGTGTTTTCACCTCAGCAACTCGATGGAAACTGATTTGTCCATGTTTTTGGGGCCCATATATATATATATATAGAATAAGGGCTTCCATGGGTGAGAGCTATTTGGTGTGGTTGGGTACCAAAAGCAGTTTATGCGGCCAAGAATCATCAAACTATGGAGTGAGTGAATGTAAAGAATCCCCAGATTTTGTTGACCTTCTAAGGCAACATTCTTTGATGACCCTGGGCCACTCCGTAGAACATTCCTCGCAATCTGCCCCTTTGGTAGGATGACAAGATGACAACAAAGGAATCAAAGAAGACCAATTGCAAGTGATTTTCCTTGCAAAATTTCGATCACCAACGGCGTACAAACACGAGAATTAACGGCTGCCCACTGAACTGTTCCCTTAGAAAGCAGCTAGTTGTCACGTGCGGGGGACAGTATGACCTACTGCTTCTCAACTCCGCTAATCCAAACCATAGGGTTGGTTTGAAGGACTTTTTGCAAAACACCGTTATTTTTCCCAGAAATCAGCTGAATTTCTACAAAGTTTCCCTAGTCGGTCCTTTAACCCCATCCCCCAAGAAGTAGTAGCTTATTTGGTCACCGTCAAAATGGAAAATCGCAAAAAAATCATCGAAACAACCAACATCTGTATATTTCTGTTCCGTTCATCATTCAGCCACCACTCCTTGATTTTTTCGATGTCAAAAAAGGTCCAACATCCTGTGACCTGGCGAGGAACTATTCCTCCACCCAAGAAGACTTGGACCTTCGTGCCAAACAGGCAGCGACATTCTGCTGGTAGATTGTTGCTGGATTCCTTGTTTGGTATAATATGTATTAATATGTTACTGTGCTGTTTTTTAATACTGTTTTTGCATGTTTTTGCCATGATTTGTTTTGTTGGAAGATATGATTTTAGCAGGAGATCCCATTGCAGCTGAAGTTATTTGATGAAGCATCTAAGGTTGGCCCCCTGGTCCAGTCAAGTGATTAAGTAATTGGATGGGTTCAACTTCAGGTGACATCGGCTCGTGCAGTCCGGCCGTGATTTGAAGTAGACCGATGTCCACTCTGCACTGTGAGATGGACCGACCCAAATGACTTCAATGGATGCATGCTATCTGGACCAGTCAAGACATTTGCATCAAGATGGTCAAGATATGTCAAGATGCATCACATATCATTTTATTAAGGTATCCGTCCCCAAGGCCGCCAGAAATTCGGATATATATCGAATCCAACAAAACCTGAGAGAGAGAAGTTAAGGATTTCCGGCCCAGTCATGTTAGTTTACTGGATTCCAAGCTGATGCTGTTTGGATCCAGTTAGGATCGGATTTGGATCGCCAGGTGGCTTGGCGTATCGACAGCGGGTCACTTAAGTCCTTGTACCAGAAGATTAGCGGCGAGGCGCGGTGAGATCAACCTGGGAAAGGTGGAATCTGCCAAAATGTGGCTTTGTCCAGAAAGTGAGTATAATATGAAATGTACATTGTGACATGTAATTATCTATGAACATCTATGAACCATTATGATTTCGTGTAATTACTTTAGCAAAATGTGGATATATATAAAATATATAATAAAACTACATAAACATCAGTGTGTATATATTAACCATTATAAAACTTTGCTTTTTCCCGAATGCGTAGCAAGGGTTCCCGTTTCACTCTGGGGGTCTGGGGGTTGAGAGTGTGTTCGCTCGACGTTGCGTCCGCGTCCGCAACCGTTCGCAACCGTCCGGAACCGTCCGCAACCGTTCGTACGAGGTCCGTATGGCCGTGCCTATGGGAAGTTTTGCAGAGGTGGTCATTTTTGGAGGTTTCAGACGTGTCGTTGCTTCGTTTCGCGTGGCAGGCGTGGCACTTTGTGACATTCAGACGTGTTTTGCAACGTGTTGAAAATCGTTTTGCGTGGCAGGCGCAATACTTTTGTGACGCTTTTAGAAGATGTGTTGCAGTTTTCGTGGCAGGCGCAGCACTTTGGACGTGTCCATCGTCATTTTTCGTGGCAGGCGCAGCACTTTAGACGTGTCCTGTTGCGTGTTTTTTGTAAATCGCATTGGCAGGGCTGCGTCAAGTGGCGACAAGGTGCAAATTCCGTGGCAGGCGTGGCATTTTGTGACATGTGCTGAAAATTGACGGAAGCCTCGCACGAAACATTGATTTTGAGGTTGCAAATTTTCAGGTTCTAAGGAAAACTCGTAGGAAAACGTCGATTTTGAAGCTGCAAAGTGTCAAAATTGGAGGAAGTCTCGTACGAAATGCTCGTTTTGGTGCTCCCACGTGTCTCGTCTCGAGTCTCTGGTTTTCCCGTGGCTTCGCTGTGTCTATGGGGGAAGCTGCAAAACCTGTCCTTTTGTTATGTTGCCAACTGTGAAAATCGCCGGAAGTCTCGTACGAAATGATCGTTTTGGTGCTCCCACGTGTCTCGTCTCGAGTCTCTGGTTTTCCTGTGGCTTCGCCGTGTCTATGGGGGAAGCCGCAAAACCTCTCCTTTTCGAAGGTTTCCAAGGAAGTTGTCATCTCGTTTTGCGTGGCAGGCGTGGCACTTTGTGACATTCCAACCTGTTTGATAATGTGTCAAAAATGTCAAAATTGGAGGAAGTCTCGTACGAAATGCTGGTTTTTCTGCATCCACGTGTCTTGTCTCGAGTCGCTGGTTTTCCTGTGGCGTCGCCGTGTCTATGGGGGAAGCTGCAAAACCTCTCCTTTTCGAAGGTTTCCAAGCAGGTTGTCATGCCGTTTTGCGTGGCAGGCGTGGCACTTTGTGACATTCCAACCTGTTTGATAACATGTGGAAAATGTCAAAAATGGAGGAAGTCTCCCACGAAATGCTCGTTTTTCTGCACCCACGTGTCTCGTCTCGAGTCTCTGGTTTTCCTGTGGCGTCGCCGTGTCTATGGGGGAAGCTTCGCACTCCACACTCTACACTCCACACTACACAATTTACACTTTAGACTCCACACTCTACACTTTACACTCCACACTTTACACTTTGCACTTTACACTCCTCACTCCTCCCTTGAGACCTTACACTCCACACTCCACACTTTACACTCCACATTCCTCACTCTACACTTTACACTCCACACTCTACACTTTACACTCTACACTCCACGCTCTACACTTTACACTCTGAACTATACACTCCACACTCCACACTCCACACTCTACACTTTACACACTCCACACTCCTCACTTTACACTCCACACTCCACACTCTACACTCCACACTCCTCACTTTACACTCCACACTCCACACTCCACACTCCACACTCTACACTTTCCACTCCACACTCCACACTCCACACTCCACACTTTACACTCCACACTCCACACTTTACACTCTACACTCATCACTTCACACTCCACACTTTACAATCCACAGTCCTCACTTTACACTCCACACTTCGCACTCTACACTTTCCACTCCACACTCCACACTCCCCACTCCACACTTTAGACTCCAAACTCCTCACTCCACACTCTACACTTTACACTCTACACTCCACACACTGCACTTTACACTCTACAGTTTACACTCTACACTCCACAATCCACACTTTGCACTCTACACACCACACTTTACATTTTACACTCCACAC